ACTTCCTCAGGATATTATCTTATACTCCACACCCAGTTCAGAAACAGTAAACCTTTTTACAAAACTACTGATTATATTTTAGATAATAATTGAATCCAACATTTCTGTACATTGAGACTAAACTGTAAACGTCTTAATAACAACAAGTTGTTCCTAGGTGGTATATTGTTGATATTGGGTTCTGTTAACATTGTCCTTCCCCACAAAGGAAAAGACCCCCACAAAGGAAAGGTCTTGGAACCCTACAAGAGCACTAAAAACCTATAGGGTAAAACCAATAACACTCCAGACCCACAGAGATGAAAAGGAAGACACATGAGCAACATGAAAAGAAAAATAAATAAAATGTCCCAAATAAATCAAGACACCAAATTATTAGAATCATTGTCAGCCACATCAGAAGAAATTACAGATAAGGAGATCAGGGTGTACATGGTTATAATGTTCTGTGAACTCAAGGAAGATATAAGAGAGCAAATACAGGCAGTGAAAGATCACTTTGACAAAAAGCTACATAAACAAACACAGGAAGCAAAAGATCATCTCAACAGGGAGACAGAGGTTCTAAAAAAGGAAACAACAACAACAATAACAAAAAAATCCATAAATATTAAACCAAATTGAAAGCTCAAATTAAAGTATCACCAACAGAATAGACCACTTGGAAGATAGGATATGAGACAATGAAAGAAAAATATATAATCTTGAAAAGAACAGAGGTCACACAATAAAAATGATAGGAAATCATGAGCAGAACAGTCAAGAAATATTGGATAGCATAAAAAGACCAAATGTAAGAGTTATTGGGATAGAGGGAGGCATAGAGATCCAAATCAAATGAATGAACAATCTATTCAATGAAATAATATCAGAAAACTTTTCAAACATGAAGAATGAATTGGAAATCCAAATTCAAGAAGCCTACAGGGTGTCAAATATAAAAAGTCACATCAGATCCACACCACGGCACATAATAATGAAAACGCCCAATATACAGAATAAAGAGAGAATTTTAAAAGCCACAAGAGAAAGAAATTAGATTACATATAGGAGAAAACCAACTAGGATAACAGTAGATTTTTCAACATAAACCCTGAATGCTAGAAGATGCTGGTACAACATATATCAAGCTCTGAAAGAAAATGGATGCCAACCGAGAATCTTGTATCCAGCAAAATTAAGCTTTAGACTTGAAAATGAAATAAAAACCTTCCATGATAAATAAAAGTTAAAAGAATTTATAGCTAGAAAACTGGCACTGCAAAACATCCTTGGAAAAATATTCCATGAATAGGAAGTGAAAAAAAAATAATAAAATCATCAGAGGGAGGTAGTAGTATCCCAAAGGAAAAGATAATCAAAGAAGAAAATCAAGTCAAGTTAAATAACAAAAATAATCAAATATGGCTGGGAATACAAACCAGGTCTCAATAATAAACCTAAATATTAATGGCTTAAACTCACCAATCAAAAGACATAGGCAAGCAGATTGGATTAAAAAAACAAGACCGAACAATATGCTGCCTCCAGGAGACTCATAGGAAAAGACATACACAGACTTTCACTTTCAAAAGTGAAAGGTTGGGAAAAATCATACCACTCACATGGACTGCAGAAGCAAGCAGGGGTTTCTACCCTCATATCAAATAAAGTAGACTTCAAGCCAAAGTTAATCAAAAGGGATAAAGATGAACATTACATATTGCTCAAGGAAACCATACACCAACAAGACAATACAATCATAAATATATATGAACCAAACAATGGTGCAGTTATGTTCATCATACAAATTCTTCTCAACCTGATATTTATTTATTTGTAATTAATAATTTATTTATTAATTAATGGGGATTGGACCCAAAGTACTTTACCATGAGATACATCCCAAGACATTTTTATTTTTATTTTGAGACATGGTCTCAGTAAACTGTTGAGGCTGGCATGGAACTTGTGCTTTTCCTGATTCTGTCCTGGATTTCTGGAATTAGAGGCATGGCTTACCTTCTCTGGTTTCACATTTTAATAGTATCATTTTTATTTTATTTTATCAACAATAATGCATTTTATATTAATTTTAATTAGTTTTACCTGATAGTAGAATTCACTTTGATTATGCACATTGATATATCTATCATACATAGGTGGGATATAATTTCTCATTTTTCTGAGTGTACATGTTGTAGATTCATACTGGTCATGCATTCACATATATACATACAGTAATAATGTCTGTTTCATTCTACTATCTTTCTTATCCCCATATCACCTCCCTTCCCCTCCCATCACTTTCTTCTACCTAGTCTAAGGCAATGCTATTCTTGCC